CAGAAAGCAATTATTTGAGATTTAGTTTCTTACGGAAAGACTTGAGCATATCATAATGCCAATTGAATTACTACAAATAATAAATGAAAAAAAGAGTTTCCTGACCCAGATAATGGCCTCCAATGATCCATCCCCACCTCGTATTATTCACACCCTGTGTACTCCCCTCCTGCATTGTACCAGACTGTGTCTTCTGCCTTGAATTCTCCTGTGTTCCCCTACCCCATACCTCAGACCCTTCAGGCCGGTGGAAGCCAGCAGCCGTGTCATGAGCACCCCTAGGAGAGGCCCATGTGACAAGAAAGTTCCCCACTAATAGCCGGTGGAACTGAGGTTTGCCTGTTAGCCTTGAAAACGAACTTGGAATTAGGTTCTCCAGGCTTGCTGAGCCATGAGATGACTGTAACTCAGTGGACCCCCAGGCAAAGGGTCTCATGGGACCCTGACCTAGAACCACTCAGCTAAGCCAGTCCTGGACCTGACCTTCAGAAACTGTGTAAAATAATAAAAGTCAGTTTTTAAAGTGCTAGATTTCGAGGTTATTTGTTATGCAGTAAGATAAACAACACACTATATAAAATCAATATATGCTTTTTAAATTTTTTAGTCTGCAATTACAGTTGACATACAATATTATGTTAGTTTCAGGTATGCAACATAGTGATTAGACATTTATGTAAATTATGATCACCCCAAAATCAATATATTTTTAAAACAAACTTAAACTATAAATAGTTTTAAAAATAACTAGTGATTCTTTTCTAAGTAATAAAATGCACCTTTAGCTTGAAAATACTACTACTGGTGTTCTTCTTTAAAAGAGGTGATTAAATAGCTTATAGAATATTTAACCTTTAATCTGTAGGTCACCAATTCTAATTTAACCAGAGTGCTTGGCAACCAGACATAGTTAAAATTGAAATTTGGTTGTAGATAGTAATTGCCCATGGCAACATGTTCCCATTTCAGTACAACTTAATTTCTTTCTTTGGTTTGAAACCTCAGTAGCTACAAAATTCTGAATTTAAATTTAACAATCAATTTCTTTTTAATCCTGAGCCACCATAGTGGGATGCAGAGTAAGAAGGAAACAACAGTTTACAGGTTAATGATGATAAAGACATGCAAAATAATCAATTTTCTAATTAAATAAAACCTCCAGGGAAACAGTAGTTGAAATAGCCCTGACCCCTCTTTAAAGTTTCCTCTCAATCCAACTATTCCTTCAGCATTTTATAAAAAAAATTTATTGAAACTTTGTATACACTAAACGTAGGGATACAGTGATAAACCAGATGGACAAGTCTCTACTCTCATATACTTTTACCTGGGAGTGGAAAAAAAATGAAGTAATTGCAAAGTTGTGGTAATTATTAGGGAAGGAAAAGAAAGCACCTACCAGAGTTAAGTATCCCAGTCTATTGGTGGGGAGAGACAGGAGGATGGGGACAGGGTAGGGGTGTGGGAAATGCTTTTTGCCAACGTGTCATTTCAGGCCAAAAGAACTCCAGGTGCAAAGGCCTGAAGGCGAGGGAGTTAAGGTACATTTAGAAACTCCAAAGTTCAGCTCGGATGCAGCAGAAGGAAGGGAGTGGTGAGGGCTCCACAGAATGCACCGCACCTTGAAGCTGCAAACCAGGAATAGGCACAATTCCTTTTGATGGGGTTCCCTTTAACAGAACAGGTGCAGGAAAGAATTAAAAACTAAAAAAATCTTTAGGCCCTGACCTTTCGCATCCTGAGTACACCTATAAATATCCCAGGCCCCAAAAGCTAACACACTCCAGCATGGAGTATGTATGCAGCCCAAGAATTCTGAGGTTAGAAAGGCCTGCTTTGAATCCCAGCTTGAAAAAGTTGTACCAACCTCACTCAGGTCATGGAAAGATTAAATAACAAATGTAAAGCATCTTATACACCCTAGGCACTGAAGTCTCTTCTCTCCCATTATCTTGCTTCTGAGCCCAAAGCAGGCCTCATAGCTGAAGGCACCTCGTCACCATCCACTACATGGGACCCTGTATCTGGCAGAAGACAACGCTCTCTTGGCCATCTCCTACATCTCGAGTTCAGTTCTAGTCTCTCCCCTTTTCCTATGGGAACGCTGGTTTGGAGAAACCAGAAGTATTCCAGCATCACAGTCCGTCATAGGATAACTGTAGCATTCATAAAGAAAAAAAATTTTACCATACACAAATGAGACTTGTTCATTATCTGTACTTTATATTTGCATGTGTATTGTACTTGACCTCCATTATTCTTTTGACAATATTGAGGTATTGCAATCACTATAGGCAAGTAAGAGTGTCATTGCTTCGTAGAGGTTAAGTGACTGACCCTGACCTAGGTTTTGAATGTAGTTCATTTTCTCAACAAAATTGTGTCAACTCTACAGAGGCTGCCTCCCATCAAATGTTGCAATAGGCATCATTTTGTTACACTTTTAGATTCTTTTAAACATTGTTAGGACTCAGAGAAACAGGGGCTTTTACAACCATACAACCATTCTTCAATGTCTATCTTTGTGTCCTATCACACATATTTTAAATCCTCTGTGGAAAACTAAGTAGGGTGGCAGAATCTTCCCAAAATACTATTTCTTTTTCTGCCCAAGAACAATTCCAATCACTTTAGAGGTAGTACCACTTTTCACTTCATACTTGCCCAACTATGCTCATAATAGTAAAAATAAAGCTTCCTATTTTCTATTAGTAAAAACTGTTTCCCCTGACCATGTAAATGAGGGCACAAATGAAACGTTAATTACTTCCAGCGGACCTCAGCTACTGATTTCAAATGGAAATGTTCCCTCATACGACCAGAATAAGATCTCTTGAAGGTCACCTCTTTCAAGCCCAGTGTTTAAGGAACTGTCTTACTTTTCAAAGTCCTTCTCATTCCTGCCTTCTAACATTGTCTAAATAATCTTTCCCTAAATACCCCTTCCTTCCTGTGTTCTCCAAAGGTGAAGCCCAGATTACCTGGATCAGAATCACCAGAGTACTTATTACAGGTGATCCCGGGGTTCCAACATTGACCTGAGTCATCACCCATGAGTGGGGCATTAGCTTTTTCTATTATCCAGCAGTTAAACACTTTATCAGTAAAATATTCCAGATGTTTTTCAGGAAAAAAAAAACAACAACAAAACTTCATCAAAGTCTCCCTTATCTTATTCTAAAAGCAACTGGTTTTTAACAAAACAAGTGGTTGATAAAAACGCTGAGTCAGACAATGATTTGTGTTAGATACCTGATACCTCCTCCTCCAGCTGTTCTGTATGTTGGGCTTTTATGAAACATTATGTACAGTTATTCAGCCAACCGAGATTATATCTAATTATACTGTCATCCAGTCTACATTTCCCCATGCTGCTCACGAGGATATCACCTAAGAATTTGGTGGAAAATTTTAAATGACATTTACAAAATTCCCCACTATGCAAGGTAGTGTAACCCAAACAATGAAACTGGTGACGTTAGTTTGGTACTATTCTTTATTCATCTTGATGATTCAAGAGCAAAGAAGAAGAAAAAAGAGAAGGAACTCCAGGTCATAAACAACATGCAGTGATGGGGCCGGGGGGAGGAGCGCCTAGGGAGGATGGACAGTGATGGATGGAGACTTGACTTGGAGTGGTGAACACACCGTAGACTGTACAGATGATGCACTGCAGAATTATGTACCTGAAACCTGTATAATTTTGTTAACCAGTGTTGCTCCAAGAAATTCACCAAAAAGGAAGAAATTCTCTACTTCATTCAAAAAAGTTAAATAACCAGGGTTTACTTATTTTAAAGTACTTGCAAAAAAATATGATAGTATTAGGAAAAAGAATCAACTTTCACCATCCTAAAGCTTAAGATATTAAATATTCTGTTCAACTTAAATCAGGCAGTTTAGGGTATGTTACACACACAACGTAATTACATACACTTGGTCATACAGTGATTGACATCTTTATTGGGAGATACGGGCACACAAATTTTTTCTTGGGGTTTGATCTTTGGCTAAAAGGTATTTGTCAATATCCTTTCCCGTGTAACTGATGTCTTAGGCAGAAAAAGCGTTTGAAGAACAGAAATCAAGGAACCTCCATCAAGGGGCAAAAATCAGGCCCTCAGAGCAGAAACTTATCAGCCCATTAACAAGGCTGATACTGCTTATTGCCCTAATATTGGCTTTCTTGTAATCAGCTCAAGAGAAAGTGAGCATTTCAAGTGAGCTTCTCCAGTCCGGTGATATTTGCACATCCCACTTGGGCCTTTTGGTTACAAAATCACCTCCTTAAAGAGCCGTGTGAAAAAGCAAGAACAATCAATAGGAAAAAAAAAAAAAAAAAAATCCTTCCAGCTATAAATCAGCCACGTGGAGCTGCTGCGGCAGCGGCGGTGGCCCCGACTTCCTGGTTTGCTTCCTGCAAGCCCAGCGGCGGGGGGCTCGGGGGAGTAAGGGGGGGGCAGTGCGAGCAGCACCGGGACCGCGGGAGGGGGCGGCGGGCCGGGGGATCTTGCAGGACACGGGCGTTAAGGACAGAGTTATGGCCCAGAATTACAATAAAAGTTTGGGAATCTGGGAGCCTTAAGAGCTGAGCTGTGGGGCAAAGGCTAAAGCTAAGGACCAGACCCGGAGAAAGTATAAGTTAGTTCCAAGGTAACGGGGGATTGCGAAGGAGATCCGCGGGCACAGCGGGAGAGAGAAGGGGACTGCGGATCTGGACGGGGGCAGGCAGACAGAAGGAAGATCCGAAGAGCGAGACGCGCGGGTCGGTTGGATCTCGGCGGAGGCCGCCAGAGGAGGGGGAGCACAGCGGCTGCGGAGCGCGGTCCGAGGCGCGGGGCCGCGGGGAAGGGGCGGACGGAAGGGCCCGGGGGAAGGTAGAGCTGAGGGGAGTTCCGGATCTGGAGCTGGAAAGGGCAGGCAGCGGAGAGGGCGGCCGCCGGAGCGGCAGGGGTGGGGGAGGGAGGAGGAGAGCCGGAGGAGGGGGAAGGAGGGAGGGGAGAGCTGTGGCGGCGGCTGCGCCCGGCTGTGTGTCTCTAACCGCCGGAGGAAGATGAGGCTGAAGATTGGATTCATCTTACGCAGTTTGCTGGTGGTGGGGAGCTTCCTGGGACTAGTGGTCCTCTGGTCTTCCCTGTCCCCGCGGCTGGACGACCCGAGCCCGCAGAGCAGGATGAGGGTGAGTGACCCTCCGCCCCCTCCGGCGGCGGCGACCTGCAACTTGTTTTGTTTGCGCGCGCGAGTGGCGGGAGCCGGGAGCGGCGGCGGGGTCGGGCGCGGCGTGGGCGCCGCAGCTCCGCAGGTGGTGCTGGCGCAGCGCGGGCGGATCGGGGGCGCCGAGCCCCGAGCACTCGGTCCCGGCTGCCCGCCGCCGGCCCGCCCCCTCGCCGCCCCTTCCTCCCGCGCTTCCCCGCCCTGGGCTCCGCCGCGGCTCCCCGCGCTGCGGCTGCGGCTCCGGCGGCTGGCTCCACGCCGGGACTACTGGGCGGAGCGGGAGGAGAGTGGGGTCCCTGGAGGCAGGGGGTGGGGCGCGGCTGCCAAGTCCGGGTCTCCGCCGGGTTGGGACCGCTGCGGTCACGGCCGAGGGACGCGGGGTTGGTCCAGGCTGCGGCCTGTGGCACGGGCAGGCCCGAAAGAGGCGAGAGGTATCGCCACTGCCATCACCACCGGTCGGGACCAGGCCCCTCGGTCCAGCCTTCCCTTCCGCCACCGCCCCGTCCGGGGGTGCCCGCAGCCCGGGGTTTCCCCCAGCCTGCGGCCCGCCGGGTAGTGGGAGGGAGATGGCGCCCCGCCTCCGGCTCTTACGGACAGCGCCGCCTCCCCCTCCACTCCGGTGGCCGGGAGACGGGGTGCGATGTGTGGCCGAGGCCTCTCTCTGGACCGGCCCTTCCTCTCGCCTCCCGGGCGACGGGAGAGCGGTTGGTGCGGTGGGGGCCGGGGGCAGAGGGGCGTCCCCGGCTGCCGCTCGGGCCGGGCCCCTACCCCTCCTGGGGATGCCCCTGCTCCCGGAGTGACGTCCTGTCCGGGGGATGTGAAGCCGGTTCCTCTTCCCGGGCTGCTGCAGGGCTCCTCGGCCGGAAAACTAACTTGTGCCGGCGCCCCGCCGCTTGGCGCCGGCTGCCTGCTCCCCCAGCCGGACGCGGAGGGGCGCCGAGCTTCCCGCGGCTCCGCTGGGACGCATTTGTCTGCCGTCCGAGGCGCGAGCGTTAGCCTTGACACTCCCTTGCTTTAAAGGGTTTAGCCAGGCGCCTCCGAACATTCGTTACTGGGAGCCGCGCTGACAAGGGGTCGCGTGTACTGCGGCTTCGCGGTGACTGTGTCTGGGTCACAGCAGGTTGGCGGCGTGCTGTCGCTCCCTGCAGACTGACCCGCTCCCCCTTAAATAAACTGCACACCCCTCCTTCCTAATCTGGGCCCGCGGGGTAGTCCCCTGGGTCAGATGCCCTTGGGGGTAAGGGAGGGTGTGAGAAGTGCAGGGCCACCAAGTGGCCAGGGGCCATTGGAAGAGTTGTGCTCAGTTGTGAAGTGCCTTTTTCAAATATTTTCTGCACTGCACTTGAGTGATCTTGATTAACTTTTCCTTCTGCAAAGTTAGCATCAGGGAGTTGAATAAGAAGACTTCCTTTATTGAACAGGAATCCTAGGAAGAATTTTACTTATCAGTTCTTGCCTATATGACAATTGGATTTAGTCTTAAGTTCTAGTAATTAAAGTCTTTACTGCAGTCTTTTTATAATATCTGGGGCCGGATTCCCATCGAAGTCATCTAAGTTAAAGTTAATTAAGAAGCACCAAATTTTGCTTTTCAATGTTGTGGTTTTAAGCCTCTCAGCTCTCATGGAGTGGTGGCGACCTTTTTATGATTGTACTTTAAAAATGATTTATTGACAAAACATAATTGAATATTACAATTGTTTGAGAGTTTGTTTTAAGGAAAATAGCCTTTTGCAAAGAGCTAGAAATGTTCAGACCCTGTTTTCTGGGAGAGTAATTGAGGAGAACTGACAAAACTATCCATGTGCAAGTGGGAAGTCTTCTAAAGCCGTGGTGGTGCGTCAGCAGCAACACCTAATTCCTTTAACACATTTTATTTGTGCTGATGTGTAAGTACCGAGCCACCATGCCCATATAATAGCTGTAGGAGGTGGTGATAGCTTCATTTTTGGTCCAAATTACAGTCATGCGCTGCATAATGACATTTCAGTCAACCAGGGACCACATATATGACAGTGGTCCCGTAAAATTATAATGGAGCTGAAAATTCCTATCACCTAGTGACATGGTAGCCATGGTAATGTCACAGCACAACACATTACTCCTGTGTTTCTGATGCTGGAGTAAACAAACCTGCACTGCCGGTCATATGAAAGTATAGCACATGAAATTATGTGCGATGTGTAATGCCTGATAATGATAATAAACAACTATATTCCTGGTTTATGTATTATTATGCTACACTTTTTAATCATATTTTAGAGTGTACTCTTTCTACTTATAAAAAAAGTTTGCTCTCAAACATTATGTGGTATTACGCTGGCAGCAGCCTTATACATCTGTTTACCGTGTCTCTTGATTGCATCATTTTCTTTTGCGATTGATTTAAATGTGTTTTTTTTGTACAGTAACACGCTGTACAGGCCTGTGACCCAGGAGCAACAGGTTATAGCCTATAGGCCAGGTGTGTAATAGGCTGTACCGTCTAGGTTTGTGTAAGTGCAATCTATGATATTTGCACATTGACAAAATCTCATAAGGCCACGTTCCTCAGAAGGTGTCCTCATTCATCATTAAGTGACGCATGGCTCCATTTCATAAAATTTTTGTCAGTGGATCCAATGTAATTTCATTTGCCAAAGACAGAAGCTGGCTATAAGACTTTCAAACATAATTAATATTGAAAAGAATGCTTATAGATCAGAAGCATTTTAAGGTATAGAATATAGATTATAAGTCATAAGAGCATAAATGAAAGGACTATTGCCCATTAATGAAAACTAAACAGTTTCTGAGATAAGAAAACTATAAAAATATCTTCTTTATGGAAGATTCTGACCAGTACACAGATTCTGATTCCCCAGTTTCCCTCACCCCTCCAGTTCTTTTATTTGATTATGATTGCAGACTCCCCCACCCACTGTGAGACACCTGCCCCTCCTCTGATGCTGATCCACATACGCACTTTTTTCTGGGTTCCTGTAAATAGCCTGAGATGGGATAGAAAAGTCCAGTTTATCATATGCACATTCTGTCTCTCTTCTGGTAAACTTACACTCATGGTTCCACTTGGTGCCACTTTTATTGTATTTTCAGTGTTCTAGGCACTAAAGTCTGTTGCAACCTGATCTTTTTTTTTTTTTACCTGGATTACTTCCTTGCTGTAGATTGGCCCAGGCACTATTGCAAAACCCATTATCCATGGTCAAGACAAGAGAAACATTTTTCTTCCTTCTATCTCTGGGCCTCTTGCAGTTTTATTGAGGTGAATGGTGTGAACAATGATTTTACTGTTCAAATTGTACTCTGTTGTATACAGTATTTATAGTCAACAAACATTTTTGAGTGCCTCCTGTGTATCAGTGCTAGTTGTTGAGGAAATGCTCTTTGCCCCAACCTTAAGGATCTTACAGTCTAGTGGGAGTGGGGGGTGGGGGGAAGACATTATTCAAGACCTCACAAATCAATCAATAAAAATTGTGCTACATGCTATGATGAAAACCATGGAGGGAGAGGTTGCTAAGAAAATGGAGGAGCCTGGTCATAAAAGGCTTACCTAAAGACATGAGTTTTGGGTTGAAACTGAGGATTTGAAAAAGTAGTTGTTGGGAGTAGTTGTTAGGAGGCAGCATGGTGAACTGAGGCACCGGGAGAGGAGCAGCATACTTTAGAACAGGGAGAGCGAGAGGAAAGGCAGAGTGAGGATGCAAAGCTAAGTGTGGGTCTTGTACACCCTGTAAGGATTAGGTCTTTAAAGCAATGGGGAAGCCATTAAAGGGTTTTTAAGGAGCAGAGAGATGTGATCAGATTTGTGTTTTGAAAAGATCGCTCTGGCTGCCTGTAGACAGTATGAATTGGTGTGGAGCAAGAGTAGACAGTAGGAGTCCTGTTGGAGGTTATAATAGTTCAGGTGGGACATGATGTTGCTCAGATTGGCAGGGTGACGGTGGAAGTGGAGGAGAGTGAATCGATTCAAGAGTTATTAAAGACACAACGGCATCAGGACGAGGTGACTGGATGTGGGAGTGAAGGAGAAGAAGGTGTCAGGAGGCTTAGGATGATAGATTACTTGTTACATTACTGTAAGTTCTGAAGACAAATTTCACACATTCTTATGTCATATTTTATGGTTATGGGAAAGCTTATTTTTTTAGGCTTTGCTCTCTGGATATTTTAAGGTCAGCATTTATTAAGACCATCTGTTCAGCACTTGCAAAGTACGAAAAGATTCTTTCATTAACTAGATTATAATACCTCCCCGACCATGTATCCCAGATTTATCCTTGAGTGAGTGTTTAAAGGTTCATCATAAGCCTCTGAAAATAAAGGTTTGTAATAGAAATATTGAAAGATCTCTAGTGGTTTTATTATAGGAAATTCAGTACTAGTGTGAAGCTGCATGTAAGCTGATGATTCTGATGCATCTGTGTAGTTACTACTGTAGTCAAACCATTACTGCCACTTAGATTCAGAGCATACATAGTAGGACTGATTCAGGAACCATCCCTAGGCAGAGGAGGTTTATGTGATAGGCAAGCAAAGGTTGGTTGAAAGGAGTATCACTTAAACAAGGATGTGTGTGCATTGATTACCCTGTCACAGTCAACTTCCACCGTACTAAAGCCGTTTTAATTCAATAATGATTGGTTGCAACCGGAAAAACTCTGCCCTTGACCATGAGATTTTACTTCAAATGGAACTGCCGTTTATACTTGTGTAGATGGAGCTATCACTTAGCAAAAGAGAATATGTCTGAAGTCTGAAGTGTCACTTTTGCCTCAGTTCCCCAGGCAAAATGCCTTGGATGGGTTTTTGTTCTATTTTGCTGTCGTCCCTCAACTCCCCCGATAAAAACAAACAAAAAACAGAAAACCCTCCCCATTACCAAGTCTAATAAGTTCAAGCTTTGTAGACCTCTTGAAATTAAAGCAGACTTTTATATACACATACATTCTTCTGGGTCAA